ACCAACTTGATTAAGGAAGCCATAGATCCGGAGGCATAAACTTTGCAGGCTTTGACTGTTGAGTGAGACTGAAGCTGAAGTATCTTAAGATAAATGAGGATCAGCATTCTGAGTAAAATATTGTGCTTATCCAAATGTGAAAGAGCATTTTAAGAAGGCTGTCAATTTAAGGGGATTTTACCAGGTATAAAGTGTATTATTATATTTTGAAGCCTTCATTGCTGCTTTGGCAATTGTCCTCTTCTGCTTCAGTCTCTGCTTTCTCTGCTTCCCTTGCTGCCACTTCAGCCTCTGCAATTCATGCAGCCACTTTGGAAGCCTCTTGAGCACCTTTTTGGATGAAAAAAAGAAATAAACTCTTGAGTAGTTCCCCTTTATCTTTAATAGCTCATCAACATTACAGCCATGAGGAAGACTAATCTTGGTGGTGTATTCTTTGCCTGTATAGAATGTGATCTTTCAATGTTTTTTCTTCTCAAACAGCCAATAGTTACTAGCCTATATATATCTACATATTTAAGGCATTATCCATCATCTGCAAATAGGAATAATAAATCCCGTAATAGAATGACAAGGAGAAGCAATCAGTAGAGGAAACAAGCATCCAGAAATAAGACAACATCTAGGTAGCATTAGCAATATTCCGAACGGAGCAAAAAAATGTGTAAGCTTCCCAACTGAAAAGGGTAATTATCAACCAGTTACTTGATATCCTATGAAACATTGAATCTTCTTACAACAGCCAACACATTCCTCAGGACCCATTACACCACAGATTTTCAAACATGAAAAAGTGAGTAGCGACATTAAGTCCTTAATCCACCAAATTAGAAGCATAAACAACAGAAAAGGATAGAACACAAATTAAACATCAATTCATGTTTTCAGGAACATGTCATAAAGCAATGACCCCAGAAACATTGAGCCCCTGCCCCTCTTTGACATCAAATACACAAGGTGCACGAGTGTCTTCCATGCACCCACATTTAGAGAAATGTCCCAGGGAGAAGCCCAAACAGGATTACACTAGCTTTCAATTCTACGTATATGATTAGAAGTGATTATCTTAAGAAGCCAGTATATAAAGTAGCTTATGCCATAGTGTGTCAGTATCAGGCAAACATCTTTGGAATCTGTACTGTTGACAGATTAGAAAAACTAAACCTTCATCAACAAAAATAAAAGTCGATGCCTAACTTAAACTAAGATAATTAAACAACCAAAAAAAACTACTAAAATTCAGACAATTAAAAAATGTGCCGAACTACATACCTGTCATGAAGTAACACTATGTTCAAGCTCTAATGTGTGTTGTCAGTTCCTCTTGATCTTTGCATCGATCATCAGTTTGCCAAGATTCTAATTTCCAACAGATTAAAGGGAAAAAGAAGCTGCGATCATTAACCTATATATCAACTTTATGTTTTCATGAAAAATTTTCATGTTTTAACTACTATCTGATTCCTAATGTTGGCATGATCTGCTCAGCACTCCTTCATAATCATTCTCCTCCTTCATAATCATCCTCCGACTCTCATCTATGACTACCTCCAGTTATACATTTACTGCAAAAGCTTAAATCTTTACCAAACCCTTGAAAAGCAAGACTTAATCTATATAATTCTCTAGATCTTGACCAAACAAATCAAAATAATTTTTCAAAGCACAACAGTCTTTTATTTATAATAAAAGATGAGCTCTCTCCAAAATTCCAAGTAGGAAAATGTCAAAAGGAATATGATATATGGCTCAAATTATAGAAATGAAGATCAATTAAGTGAAGCAAAGAAAGCAAAATGTTATAAACACAAAACTAAACCTAGAAAGTGGGAATTATTTTACAGAAAACAATTAGCATTGGGTAATCAGTTACTTTGATGAAACAGATCCCGGACAGGAAAGAGCAATCTATCAACAGCATTGGAGGAGAAAAGTCTGAATCACCAATGCCCACTGGTATAAAACTAAAGAAAGCTACTCAATCTTGAAGATCACACAAATTACAAATTTTTTTTTAAAAAAAACAAGTAATTTCTAG